CTATCACTACCAGAAATGTTATAGCACCAACCATAATCGCAAACCGGTACTTTATCTGGAAGGAACATGTCACGACAAGTAATAAGATCACTTCCAAATAAGTACATTAATGAAAGACTGCAGAAAACTGGATAGGTATAGGTCATCAATGGTGTGGGCCAGTGATCTGTCTCTACATGTGGGCTGCTAACCGCGAGTGAGTGCCGTATTAAGTACCGGTTAAAGCCAGTTGGCACGTATCTACCGTAGCGGTCATTGGCAAGATGCCTACGGGAAACTCGTCCGAAATTGCTTTTTGAGTCATTGAGAACGAAGGCTTTTCTTCGCAGGTTTTTGACCGTTTCACTTCGTTTTTTCGCCATTTTCCCCACTATACAGCGCCCTGCTAGCATTTTAGATCGAGTATCAAATGATTGTGCCAACTGCCTTTAACCTTTCATTACCAAGGTCAAAACCTACTGTAGCTGCATATCTCACTGCTGTTGCTGTTATTCACACTATAAATGCACAGACCTGTTGATTTGTTTTCTTTCGAGATTGTCGAGCGTGACTTGGAATGTAATTGACCGTACATATAGGATATGGTTGGATTTTTGGTCCCACTTGAGAGCACTGGTCACAGTGTAGACCCTTATACTTGGCTGGACATATACAAGACTGAGACATATTCTTCATATCTGAAAACAGTCTGTGAAATTGCATTCGGGAAGAAATAAAAAAATACCAGTCAGTTATCTTAAGCTACCGAGAGAAAGTTTCAAGAATACACAACTTTACTGTCATATTACTTGAGACTTTTGATTTTTATCAGCATGTTAAATACCATTAGGTGGCCTCTCAAGCCGAACTGGGCCCCACTCTACTACCGAAACCATTGTCTTCCGTTGTCACAAAAGGACAATTGAAAAACCTTTTTTCCTTGGGAAGGACATAAAACCAAGTTCTCAGAGAAAGTTTTTTTCAGGGAAAGAGCTTACTTGGATAGCCATGGTAGCATATGATCCGTTCACAATAGTCTCCCTCGAAATGCTTATTACATATACATCTGAAATGAATACATATAAAGTCATTCGCAGTGTGAATCGGCATTTATTTGTCGAAACCAAAGTCCAAGGAATGTGAAACTAACCGTCCATGTTTTATGATACCGTTGTCACATCGGCTAGTGAACTGACATTCATCACCGAAAAATGAACCAATGCATTCGCATTTGTTATTCTTCCATTCGCCTCTGTTACCACACTGTAGAAATGATTTACGATCAAACTGCGCTACATATGAGGTATACTGAATGTGAAATAAAATATAATCCATGAGAAATAGGAATTTGAGCGAATGGATACAGCCATTGTCTCCGTGACTGGTAGGTGTCAGACTGAAGTCTTGGCGCGTTGCAAGCCGCTCTCTCACCTGACACCCAACTGTGAGGAAGTACTGATGCTAACATGTGACACAAGTCGTTGTGTTAGAACGCTTCAACGGGGAAAACGGGTTCGGCACCACGCCAAACCCATTCTGCCTCGCACTCCCCATCCATCTGCAAAGACTGTAGCGCTCCTCATTGGTAGGTTGACCCCAAAGTTTGCTGAATAAACTGTGAAATGTCAACATTTCTTTTCTTCTGTCGAAAAGTGCGCTTTTAAGCATTGGGACACCAAATGGACTGAGTGCGAAGCTTGTACACGACCACCTTGTGAACATCTTTAAAACTCCTTGTAACTTAAAGTGATAATTAGCAACAATCTCGAATGAGCGCGCTTGTAATTCATTACCAGTTTTCAAAAAGGGCTTTACTAGCAGCTGGAAGATGAACTACAAATATGCAAAATTCTCGCTCCTATCATCGAACAGCGCCAATCGATTTCTTTCCCTAGTTCTTCAAAGCCTCTGATTTCCTTTTCTTGGGGCTGAGCAAAAATCTCGTACCGTGTCTCTTTCACGAAAGCTCGATCAGATTGTCGTTTCAGCGATTTTACCCTACATCTCCCAGAAATGGGAGGCTGATGTAGTGCAAGCTGGTTCCAGACTCACTGACATACTATTCATAAATTGCTTGCAGCCAACCACCCAAGCGCGTACACATGGCGATTCAATCCACGCTTTTGAAATGAAGAGTAATGCGTTCCGCATACAGATAAAACGAGATCGTGTTTCCTCCAGGAACAACAAAGAACAACAACATCCTCTGAAGGCCATACAGTCCTTCTGGCTGCGATGCTGGGGCGGCAGAGACGGATTTGCGCGTCGCTGACCGTTTCCACAATCGTTGTAAGACAATCCAACAAATCGTTGGAGGGAAATGGCATGACGCCGCGCCAAACCCAGCTCCCTGACACACTCAGCCCGCATAACAAGACGTAGCCTTGTTATTGTCAAGTGACCAGATTATTGTCAATGACGGTTGCTTTCTTACAATATAGCATTGTCTCTATGTAAGGCTTACTCAGCAAATAGATGAATCAAGTAATAGTTCAGTACTCTTTCAGTCAGATGATATTCGCACAAATCTCCTTTCCATCCTTCATTACAAATACACGGTTTACTGAATATAAGACTGAGAGGATCATATCGTCGTCCAACGGAGATTCCATGCACTGAAAAAGCCAGAAGAAAAAGTGAAACAAGAGCTTGCGCTGGCTATGAGATAAAAGAAAATGGTGAGCACGCACCGCGGGTGAATAGTGATAAATAGCGATACCCAGTGATACCTGGTGATACCAAGTGATACATGGTGATTGCTAGGGAATATTCCCTTGAAAAGGGGTAAAAGAACTGTTCTGTGCCCACCGTGTGGGGTAAGATCTACATTGTACGAAATCAAATGCAAGCCCTCTCTCTTCGATAGTAAGGGGGGAAGGGCGCTGAAGAGGTAGACAGATTGGTAGGCTTGACTTTTCGCGCCCAAACATCGTTGAATGTACCTTCGAGGCGAAAAAGGCACAAGACGGACATACGCCACCAAAAAAAAGAGGAGGCCGGAAGTAACATCTCTAACGTCATTTTCTTAGCGAAAACCTCGTTCATACAGAGAAATTATTATTACAAGTGAAACGGGAAAAAGCGAAAAAAGTGAGCAAAAAAAACATTTTTCTCAGGCGCAAGTACGACCACCCCCCTTCCCAGGAACCAAATACGACCTCCCTCGCTGGGGACACCCAATATGCGACGTGCAGTGCTCCGCACAGGGACGGCCATGGTCATCAGGCAAGGTTAAATTCAACAAGTGGCTTAAGTCGGTATCCGGCGCCGAATTTATGGCAAGTTTATGATGGCGACCAGTTACTGACCTACAGAAAAATGGTAATAGAAACAAAAAAAAACACAAGGAATCATGAAAAACGGAAGAAAAAAAAGCGAAGAGAAAAATAGTGGTGTTCTGAAGTCATGTTTCACTTTGTGTACTGGCCAAGTAAGAGTAAAACGTTTTACTTACCACAGGCGAAATCCTCACAAGTTTTTCCGGTGTGTGGATGAATACAATGGCATTGAC